TAATCTAAATCTACCTAGTGTAAGTACCTAATAGAAAAGTAGTAAGTATTTCAATATATATTTCGTATTTTCCTGGTATTAGCCAGGCAGGAAATAGCAGTGACCGGGGCACTCAACTCAGGCTGTTATAAATAACATAGCGAATATAAAATGTTGATTTATGGTTTTATTAAACTTGCAACTTAACGATTTACGATTATCTTGCTGAATTTTCAACATTTGTTATAGTAACACGAAACGTTATTTTATTTAAGAATAAAAATAAAAGACTAAAAATAATATTTAAGAGGATTCGTCATCGTGGATCAAAAACTWAATTTTTAGCGTACTTAATACAAATGAATAAATAAAATTATATATTTCAAATAGGATATTTGTAAATTAGATACGCAAGTCACAAACATTGACATCGATACTTCCTTAAACAAAATAAAAAGGTAGATATTACCTAGAAATAGAAAATAAAATTATATTGCTGAAACCGGAACGGAAATACAKCATGTTTAAGTTAAATGGCGCACATGGAGATTTTGTTAGCACAGTAAATAAACAAATGTAATATGTAGTGTGTACCCACTCACTATTTATAGTAAGTTAAGTTTTCAAGCTGCTCTCGATAGTTCTTTTCACATAACATATTTTATTTCTAACTTTTTAAATTAAATCTTAACAAATATTGATTAACTAGCCTTTAAGTGATAGATCTTTGTCAATACTTAATTATTCATGYCTCGTATATCTATAGATTTATAGTCGATATAGCATATTCTATATTATATTATATTACATCATTGACCTATATTAGCTTAGACCAAAATGGTGGTTATAAATAATTCCTATAGGAACGGGACRCAAATTTCCTCCTTTTCAGAGATATTTTAATAACAGCTAGCCAATAATTTCACTAGCAGCCATTTATAAATTGATTAAAACTTTAAAACAAACACTATATTATTCACTTAATTATCAAGAAATATTTMTAGCAATAACGTAAATGGTGAGGTAAACGGTTTTYAGTACTTATACCTTATTACTTGTCCTCGGCGATTAAATATTTAAATAAACTAGTAAGTCATTATAGTCTACAGAAATTATTATAATTTACATATGSTTCATGTGGGCTGTGATACCAGTAAAGTTGCATGACTTGGTCTGGGGACCATGGTGCTGAYGCCGCGCACTAGTGGGTCGTGAATATGTTTGTGAATGCATCAATAGGGGCGTGCACAGAGTGCATAATTCACATAGGAACGAGCATAGGAAAATAGTGTTTAAAAACTTGTATTATAGGCACCTAAATATTTTTAAAACAATTTATTACAGCACTATAGCAGGTAATTTTAAATACTAAGGGCCAGTTGTACYGTCTACGGTTAAACTTCGATTACTCAGATGATAAYACATATTTAACCGTGCAAATTCGGCCGATTAAACTCCGGTTAACTTTRATCAGAGACGGTGCAACTGGCCCTTAATCTCTTACACCATAGTAAATCATGAATCATGACTAAGACGTAAATGTAAATTTTTAATTTTAGTCTTTAGGCGGAGGGCCTTAATTTGTTTTTAAATAAAGCTTATTACCTACTTTTAAATTTAAATAGTGTGGTKACGTGAATATCTATCGGCTATCAGTGTCCTAAATTATTGTTTGTGCGCTATATGCTATATMATAAAAATTATGCAATAAACATATAATCGACAATTTATTATAATAATACTCAAATATAATATTTCTATAACAGCAACAATTAACAATGTTACCGCATTTCTTGGATACCAATAAACCATTAAAGATAAAAAAATTTGTTTTAATTTTCAGAACTAGAAGTATCGGGAGAAAGATAAAAACTATGTATATGTATAAACAATTATTTAAAATGATTACAAACAGCTTCAATATAAATATTAAACAGATGATAAAATTAAATACCTACCTAATCCATGTAAAACGGGGATGTTTTTTTTTTTTGGAAGGATTGGAAATTATTKAAATAATTACTAATTATTCAATATTCAAAAGTACTAAACCACCTAGGTATCTCCCACCACGATTACCTACGATGCTATTTGTACATTTTGATCCATTTAAAACCGTTAACCGATGAATATTAGCGAGCTACGTTATTTCCCCAGTTATTTCTTTCGATACTTGAGACAAAAAAAAAAACTTAATTTTCCATGTCTTCAATGTCGCGAATTACTATAAACGAGTCTACCGTTGCAATACCTGTCATGACTTACTATTATGGAGATTCCTAACACACCTACTTTAAGTCTTTAAATTTATACTACGTATAAGCTATTATCCTACATTATATTTTTCACTCTTGGAGGTCTAACACCTCGGACTGTTAACTCGATGACGATCCTCAAAATGTCTAACTCAATTTCTACGTTTTGTATATGCACGTCAGTCCATGAGATACCTATTGTAATATAACATGTCAACATATTATTATAATTAGGTATATGATGTCAATGAGTCCAGTGAAAACCAATACCWAACCATTGTGAGTACTTCGACTTAATGTTATTAATTACCTACAGATATCTACGTTAGTAACTTACCTAGGTCGTCCATTTTTGTGGCTCAAACCCGGATCACACTGACGTCTCCAATGCAATCGTCACGATAATATTAATATTACAATATTATGGACGGTGTACGCGTACAACTTACTGTTAAGAACCGGGTACATCGGCGTCGTCCGGTTACGCGAAGATATTGTTTTTGTGAATTTTTCGTCGAGAATGAAAACAATCGGAGAAGACGTGCACAGAGACGGAATTCCGACGGATTTTTTGTTTATGAAATTTCTCTACGCGTAGGYATTTCGTTTTTATCAGTCTCGACGAGAAATCGTAATGRTATTATACATTTCTACATGTAAGTAAACAGTAATCTCTTCGGCCCCGACGTCCGCCAATGTTTACGTACACGTTATCATAACATTCTACATACAACTATTTACTGTCGTGGTGCGCGCTATCAATGTTGACGGAAAATGCGACGTTGCCGGTGCAGCAGTGGGTCAAGTCGGTCGACATTTCGACGATGGCGACGTTATCAGTTATCATGCCTGTTAACAAATCTCGCTTACGACACCCACGCACCCTCCCCGTCGCACACTCGACGCTTACACCTTAGTAGCACAGTCGGTTGCGCCGACCCTTTCTCCCCTGCGCCTCTCCAACAGCATTCAACAGGCTATTTTTATCCCCCGTGCACATGCTCGCGACGAATATACATATATAATACAATAACAATATCATTATCAACTATTTTTATTATTATTATTATTGCCACCGCCGCCGCCGAAATTTTCGTCTTCACCGCTGCACCAGCAGCACTGAGCAYTTTGAACAGACCGCGACTAGACTATGCGGACTGCTCCCTTCCTCCTCATCAACTGTTGTAGTACGATCAGCAGCAGCAACAGCAGCAACATCATCGCTATCGTCAGCACCAGCCTTGTCTTTACCAGTCCGCCTGCTCGACGACCCTAGTTTTGATTCCGTCCGTGCGGTCGGAAATTGTTTTTTTTGGGATCGAGTAAAAGAAGAGAAATCTTGACAACCCCTGCACGCTACCTGCAATCACCCCCGCACACCCGTAGTGTAGTCTGACAAACACGCGATTGTCGACTGACCTACACACGCCGCGGACRGAAGATTAACGATGCCTCCGGATATTAGCGAGTGAGTACTCGACCAAATAATAACACATTGTTATTTTATTATTATAACATTAACTACCCGTGCACGTCGTGATCGTTCGTGCAGGCGGACTCGATTATCGATCGGACCCGTATCGTCGTAACGATAAAATAATAACTCACTGTTTAATTATTGTTAAATAACCACCCCTATGATAGTCGTACGCGTGTGAGCGTCGACAAATTATTGTACAGTCGTGACGTGCCGTCCATCATGCCCGGTGTTTGCAGTGATCCAAATTTTTTTGAGACCACCATCGAGCCGCTGCTCGTGGCCGGCCGCGAGGGTGACCTGTGCGAGTGGCTCAAGAAAAATGGACTGATTGCCAAGGAAATGAAATGCCCAAACAATGAGTGTCTAACCACAGACAAGATGCAGTGGCACCGCGCACGTGTCGTGGATAAGTTCAACTGGGTGTGCCTGGAGTGCAAGAAGAAGGTGCCGGTTAGGAGCTCGTCTTTCTTCGCCGACTTCAAGTGTGAGCTGGGTTATGCGCTAAAAGTCATTGACAGTAAGTGGCGGTAGTTGTTCAGTTGCACTATGACAATGTGTCGGAAACGCGCTTTGCTCATATAATTTTTTTTTTACAGGTTGGTGTAAGAATATGCCTCTGAGCGATATCAGTGGTGAAGGCAGAACCAAAGTAAATGTGGCCAAGCGTATTTACAATGCATGTACTCAAGTGGCCGAGTGGCAGTTAAAAAAAATTGTTGGCGACTTCAAATTGGGTGGCACTGATGTTGTAGTCATCGTAGATGTATTTCCAGATGGCAACATGAGTTTAGAAGTACCAACTACGTCCCATAATAATAACTTTTCCAAAAGAGTGCTATGCATTGCCGATACAGCCCATGTACCTGTTCGCGTTTGGGCAAGTCTTCTGGATGGATCTAATAAAGTAAAACAATTATATTTTATATTTATTCAACTGTTAAGATATTTTTTAATTAATACTGTTTTTGGGTTTAGGAAAATTCTAAAATTGTAGAAATGGTCAAAAGCCATGTAATGATGGGTTCAACTATTGTAACAAATGAAATGTTATATCCGTTGTTGCACAATTTACCTGGAATAGGAGAAGTCATAAGCACAGAAGCATTGATGAATTTAGACATAAACCACGATCACAAATCTTTAAAAAATTTGGGTTAGTAGATAACATTGTAGGTAAACTTAATTGAGTGATATTTCTTACAGATGGTTTTCTGTTATAGAAACTATATGGGCTACCACTGTAGAAGCCTGTATTCAATTACAAGACATGTCTACAACACATGCTGAACAGCATCTATATGAACTTCAGTGGAGACAGATGTATGGATTTATAGCGCTTCCATCCTTAATACAGCATATTGTTGAGTATACAGCTTACAATAACCCTATATGTCCACCTTTGCCAAGCATATGGCCTACAAATTAAATCAATTAATAAGTACAAATGTTAACTTATTGCTAAACCCACCGCTTAATATAATATACATGGTAATTTTTGTCAATTATTGTACGCCATTATGACTACTATTAAGTTTGAAAATGTTAATTTAATTAATCTTGTCCATTATCATTATTTCTCATATAACAATTCTCTTAATGATATTTTGACATAATTCAATTTTTAAATGTAATGCTAAAAGACTTWATAGTAATAATAATAACATTTAAAATCAATAACATAAAGATCCAAATTCAATTTTTTTAAACCAAAAATAATTTTAATTGATATACTGAATAATCCTTAGATATTAAACCATTTTATGCGTTCTAAGTACTAGATTTAATCCTCTAATTCAAGGCAATACCTAGTATATATTATATTTTTTTTAAGTTATACTTTTCAAACGAACATCACATCTTATAATATTAATTGATCTTGAAAAGTATGTTTATCTTCACCTTTGACTTATTTGTTCTTATTATTTCAATGGAAGTGTAATAAATRTAAAATTATTTTTTAACAATCAGATATCAATACATTGAAATTCCATAATTTAAAAGAATTAAATAATCCACACTTAAATAATTTGGTATGAGATATCTATCAATCGTTTTTAAATTTATTAACATTATATTTTGGAAAATAATAAGTATGTTTGTGCCTACATTAAATTAACCAACTTAAAGTAATATATTTYATACAAAGTTTGTTTTATTTTGTTTGATCATTCTTCAGAATTGTATGACTATTTTACATTTTATTGCAAATCATTTGTTCTCAAATAATATAATTTTAATAGATATTAATGTAATTGATATTTTCAAAGACTGGGTTTTAAAACAGATTATTACTTTGTTTTGTTTCAATAATTTGGTGCCATTCTATAAATTAAATAAATTAAAAAAGTTATAACAAAAAAGCAATATGAAATTAATAAATACATTTGTACAAATGTTAAAAAGTACAGGGTAATATTCAGCTTCAACCAAAACATAGTRCCTTTTTTTAATACAAAATGTACAATTTAAGCTTACTTGTGATTTCATACCAATGATGTTTTCTCATATAGATTAAGAATTTTTGGAGTCAGGGTTAAATATGCATTATTTGTATACTTATGGTAGATAGTTACTCAATTTTTATATTTTACATCACTTAACATTATTAAAGTCTGTTATTCAGAATTAATGTAATTAATTTGTAGAGGTAACTTAAAAATATTTAAAATTARTATAATAAAATATTGTTCAAGTTTATAATTGAATTTGTTTATATGAATACACTATATAGGTACTTCATAATGCATTTAACAGCACAAATATTATTTAATATTTTTGTATAATTTAATATATATTTATTATCTAATTAAATGTGATTGTAATTGGTGTTAAATACAATTACAAAACCAGTGAATTATTAAGTATAAATATTAATTAATTTGTGGTTTCTGTTCTATTGTGTGATACATTTTTATTTTTATTGTCTATTGATTAATGTTAATTTTTTCAAATTGTTTTTATTTAATGGAAAATTAAAAACTTAGGCTTTAAACTTAAGTACACATTTATTTTATCAATGTAGTGTGTCTTATAATTTTTAATTTTTATATAAATGACAATGCTATTCAATAACTCATTTATTATTTATAAAAAAATGTAATATCCTGTTAAAATATTTTTAATCATTGTATGTAGCCAAATTTCTTCAAATATAAAATAATTGCCATTATTATTAAAAATATAAGTTACATAATTAAATTATTGTTGTGTATTAGCAAAAATAATTGAACCAAGTGCCTTTTTTGCTGTTGTATTAATATATAAAGCTCAAAAAACATCCAAACTATGTAATTGCTGTATAATTGTTGTTATTAAATGGTGTACTTCTCACAACTCTGCTCAATGATATTAAATTGATGTTAAATTGTAACATTATTAAATAGTATTCTACCCATAATTATCCTAAAAAATTTTGTTGAGTAAATGTATTGTATTTATATATATATATATATAAATCTATTGTCACTTTATGTTTTTGACTAAGTTTTAATCTATTCTTGTTACTAATACCTAAATCTTAATCGTTTTCTAAAGTGAATTATTATTATATTGCTATTATTGCCTTTTTTTCAATGTTAGACTTAACTTATACCAAAGTCTTTTATTTTTATCATTTTATTATGTTGAAACAATATTTAAACATGTTACTTATGTTCTTAATAATTTTTTTTCATTGTTTAATTAAAATAATTTACCAGTTATAAACATTTTCTAAACTCCACTTTAAACCAAACAATTTTTTATTATATTGTAGATTGTTCCTAGTAATTTCAATTTGTAATTTTATTATCAATTTTGTACTTTACTTCCATTTACATTGTGTTTTGTTAATAGAAATATGTTATGTCTACAATATTATTAAATATTATTAAGTGGGTATTTTTTTGTTTAATATCAAAATATTAATGTTAGACATTTTTTTGAGACTAAATATGTTAGTTTTTTTTTTGCGTGTTAATTGAACTGATTAATACATTTTTGTTAAAAACTGAAACTTATTGTCTTCCTCTAGCAAATGACTTATATTAAATATAATTTTATTACGATAAATGATWAATGTTTTAATGTTTGACTGTTAAATATAATACATTATATTGTTAGAAATATTGATACTGTGTTTAATAAATTTGTAATCTACACACTACACAGGTACATAAAATGATTTAATTTTTAAATATACATTGTGTACTCATGTTTAAAAATCATTTTTCTTTTTTTCATATATTTCAAATTTATTTTGAACTCTGTATGTTTAATAATTAATAATTATTAATTGTTACTAAATACATAATGATAGTAAAACTATAACACTAGTACTAGTAGAACTTTAGTTTAATGATATCTATTATCTAATGTTTAATTATTACAATTTTAATTTTATTTTGCAATTATTTAGGCTGTCTTTTTAGTTTTAATTCTTTTTTTTTATAAGCTACTAGTATAAACTATTACAACTTTACATTTACAATGAAATAAAATACAAGATATAATTACYGATACATCAATTTTTAACTATATAATAAAGGCATCCACTAAAACAAAGATTACTGTTTTAAATTTTAATATGAAGAGTATTTTTTAATGTGAAAATTATAATACTGTTTAATTTTGCATATATGTGAATCATGTGGCTAATTCAATAAAAATTTTAAATATGATTGGTGATTTATTGRGAATGAGCCCATTATTAGCTCARATAATTTGCTAGGAGTCTAAGATTACTTTCAGCTAGCAATTTATTGTTTAATATATATTTGAGCATTTCCTTATTAAAAGTGGAAAAATTAGATTATCCCAGTGCTCAGAAGTCAAGTAAAATAATAACATGAATCCTAATAATAGTAATCTTATATTCATTTTGTAATAATTATAATATCTCTAAGAAAAATGAATCTTAATAGCGTTATAGTTAGAAAACCTATMGAATATCGATGGTAGTATGGTATGTTAATAAATAATGAAATTGTAGTGCAGAATTGAAGATTTAATTATAGATGCTTATATTATGCTATCCAACACTTATAGCAACATATATATTAAATTAAAAGATTAAATTTAATATTGATAGTATATAATCATTAAAATATAATGTGATAACATTAATTTGTTTAATGATAACAATTTAGTATCTCAAATTTCAATCACTGGCATGCATATGCATTCTKTAATGGAAGCGGTAAATCACATTATATTCTTATAATTTAAGTGATTTAACATTTTGACACTCCTTACTGCTAATTTTAAATTAACCTCATAACGAATTTGTCATATTTCAAGTTTTGYCTTTTACTACATTATTTATGATCTCAAAATCTTATCTCCGTTGCCTTTTCAGTATACACAGAAGCTTCAATTTTCTTAAAGGTAAGTTATAATTATAATTTTTTATTGTTGAACTAATTGTTCATTTGTATTTTCTAAATGATAGAAACTAATTTTTGATTTCTTTAACGATGTACTATTTATTAAAATATTTGTGATAACTCATAAGTGCAATTAATATAGAGGGTGCTACCGTCATAAAGTACCGTTAAAATGTATTATCTACCTACCATATTATATTATTATAACAACAAAAATGTAGTTGAAAACCCAAATTTTTATTTTGTTTTATTATTTGATGTGTATTTGAGCCATATTATACCTAAMCWAAGTTGATGWTGGACTATTTATTTAGCTATACCTAGAGCTCAAAACTTTCAAATAATAAATCATTTAAAATATTAAAACAAATTTTTTTCTAATATTAATCGTTGCTTAGGTACTTTCAGCTTAGACAATAACAAAATTATTGACATAAAAAGTTTTGTTATTTTGGAAAAATGGCTTTGTCATTAAAATACATAGATACTTTGGTTTATAACATAACAAAAGAAAGACATTTAAAAAAAAATACTAATATGCATATAAATTTATTACAAWAAATTAAGAAACAGTACCAACACTTTTTTCTCATATATATATATATTCTAAATTTTTTTATTAAACTCGTCATTGTTTTGAACAAATTTATTTTTTGATCTGCTATAAATTTAAAGCATAAAGAAAAATATGGAACTTCCAAGCATTAGTTATAAGCTATTATTTATATAACAATAGTAAGGACTCTCCAATGCACCACCGTACGTCTCAACCCTAACATTACATAACGATTTTCACATGAAAACCATCAATGAAGAAGCTCAATTCTTTTACTTGCACTTCCGCATRCGACYTCTATCCCACCAAAATCCTCTTATTAAAAACCTCTCCTCTCTAAATCTCCCAGGAAATCCAAGGCGCAGGCCAATTTAGGAAATGGTTTCGTGACCTCCTACAATTACCAAGTTAAAATAACAATATATATATACACACAATTCCAACCATCAATAATTAAAAAATATATATAATATATATAAATAAATAATAATTCATGCTAAATGTTGCCAGTGAGCTGAGGCGGTTTGAGTATACTGTTTTTGGTGCACTGCACCACCATTGTTAGGGGRGTGGGTAGTCTTGGTTGAGCATGTGCTGACCGCAATGTTTAATTTTAATGTTCAATAAATGAAAAAAGTAATAAAATACCTAATCAATGACATATGATAAATGATAATCATGGCTGAAGCTGTTGAAAGCATCGAGTTACGAATATAAGGGCCTTATAATTGTAAACTATAAACTTATTAAAAAATATTTATTTGTAATTTCTATTATGATGGTGGGGGGGACCGCCTCTGCCAGTGAGCGGCTTCTTAATCGATCTATCACGTCCTGTCTTCACTTAGCACATAAGCTTATTATACATACTTGTATAGATTGTTTATTTCTAATAAAAAAAAAAAATTAAAAAAAATATACATACAATACAACTAAATATATGCATTTATTTTTACGATATAAGAAAATATAAAGTATGGTGTAGCAAAAATGAAAATAACAATTTAACTAATTGTTWTTAGGATTATAGTAGGTGTATGTAATAACATTGAGTATATACATGCTTGAATAATGTTTAAGTGCTGGTATAATAATTTATACAATAGGTATTGAATATACATTAATACATTATTAAGGATTTTTAATTAATATCAAGTAAGCCCAACAGTCAACAATACTTGGACATGAATCTTTAATAAATGTGAGGTCAAATCAAGTCAATTTCTTATTTGCCTGTGAAAAACCCTTGCATTTTTTT